TCAGTCTGGCCTGCTCCTTTGACAGCTTGAAGTGGGACGGAGTTACCTACTGTGTTTCAGTCTGGCCTACCCCTTGGACAGCTTGAAGTGGGACAGAGTTACCTACTGTGTTTCAGTTTGGCCTACCCCTTGGACAGCTTGAAGTGGGACAGAGTTACCTACTGTGTTTCAGTCTAGCCTACTCCTTGGACAGCTTGAAGTGGGATGGAGTTACCTACTGTGTTTCAGTCTGGCCTGCTCCTTTGACAGCTTGAAGTGGGACGGAGTTACCTACTGTGTTTCAGTCTGGTCTGCCCCTTGGACAGCTTGAAGTGGGACGGAGTTACCTACTGTGTTTCAGTCTGGCCTACTCCTTGGACAGCTTGAAGTGGGACGGAGTTACCTACTGTGTTTCAGTCTGGCCTACCCCTTGGACAGCTTGAAGTGGGACGGAGTTACCTACTGTGTTTCAGTCTAGCCTACCCCTTGGACAGCTTGAAGTGGGATGGAGTTACCTACTGTGTTTCAGTCTGGCCTACCCCTTGGACAGCTTGAAGTGGGGCAGAGTTACCTACTGTGTTTCAGTCTGGCCTACCCCTTGGACAGCTTGAAGTGGGATGGAGTTACCTACTGTGTTTCAGTCTGGCCTGCCCCTTGAACAGCTTGAGAAGGGACGGAGTTACCTACTGTGTTTCAGTCTGGCCTACCCCTTGGACAGCTTGAATTGGGACGGAGTTACCTACTGTGTTTCAGTCTGGTCTGCCCCTTGGACAGCTTGAAGTGGTACAGAGTTACCTACTGTGTTTCAGTCTGGCCTACCCCTTGGACAGCTTGAAGTAGGATGGAGTTACCTACTGTGTTTCAGTCTGGCCTGCCCCTTGAACAGCTTGAGAAGGGACGGAGTTACCTACTGTGTTTCAGTCTGGCCTACCCCTTGGACAGCTTGAATTGGGACGGAGTTACCTACTGTGTTTCAGTCTGGCCTACTCCTTGGACAGCTTGAAGTGGGACGGAGTTACCTACTGTGTTTCAGTCTGGCCTACCCCTTGGACAGCTTGAAGTGGGACAGAGTTACCTACTGTGTTTCAGTCTAGCCTGCTCCTTTGACAGCTTGAAGTGGGACGGAGTTACCTACTGTGTTTCAGTCTGGCCTACCCCTTGGACAGCTTGAAGTGGGACAGAGTTACATACTGTGTTTCAGTCTGGCCTACCCCTTGGACAGCTTGAAGTGGGACAGAGTTACCTACTGTGTTTCAGTCTGGTCTGCCCCTTGGACAGCTTGAAGTGGGACGGAGTTACCTACTGTGTTTCAGTCTGGCCTACCCCTTGGACAGCTTGAAGTGGGATGGAGTTACCTACTGTGTTTCAGTCTGGCCTGCCCCTTGAACAGCTTGAGAAGGGACGGAGTTACCTACTGTGTTTCAGTCTGGCCTACCCCTTGGACAGCTTGAAGTGGGACAGAGTTACCTACTGTGTTTCAGTCTGGTCTGCCCCTTGGACAGCTTGAAGTGGTACAGAGTTACATACTGTGTTTCAGTCTGGCCTACCCCTTGGACAGCTTGAAGTGGGATGGAGTTACCTACTGTGTTTCAGTCTGGCCTACCCCTTGGACAGCTTGAAGTGGGATGGAGTTACCTACTTTGTTTCAGTCTGGCCTGCCCCTTGAACAGCTTGAGCAGGGACGGAATTACCTACTGTGTTTCAGTCTGGCCTACCCCTTGGACAGCTTGAAGTGGGACGGAGTTACCTACTGTGTTTCAGTCTGGCCTACTCCTTGGACAGCTTGAAGTGGGACGGAGTTACCTACTGTGTTTAAGTCTGGCCTACCCCTTGGACAGCTTGAATTGGGACGGAGTTACCTACTGTGTTTCAGTCTGGCCTACTCCTTGGACAGCTTGAAGTGGGACGGAGTTACCTACTGTGTTTCAGTCTGGCCTACCCCTTGGACAGCTTGAAGTGGGACAGAGTTACCTACTGTGTTTCAGTCTAGCCTGCTCCTTTGACAGCTTGAAGTGGGACGGAGTTACCTACTGTGTTTCAGTCTGGCCTACCCCTTGGACAGCTTGAAGTGGGACAGAGTTACATACTGTGTTTCAGTCTGGCCTACCCCTTGGACAGCTTGAAGTGGGACAGAGTTACCTACTGTGTTTCAGTCTGGTCTGCCCCTTGGACAGCTTGAAGTGGGACGGAGTTACCTACTGTGTTTCAGTCTGGCCTACCCCTTGGACAGCTTGAAGTGGGATGGAGTTACCTACTGTGTTTCAGTCTGGCCTGCCCCTTGAACAGCTTGAGAAGGGACGGAGTTACCTACTGTGTTTCAGTCTGGCCTACCCCTTGGACAGCTTGAAGTGGGACAGAGTTACCTACTGTGTTTCAGTCTGGTCTGCCCCTTGGACAGCTTGAAGTGGTACAGAGTTACATACTGTGTTTCAGTCTGGCCTACCCCTTGGACAGCTTGAAGTGGGATGGAGTTACCTACTGTGTTTCAGTCTGGCCTACCCCTTGGACAGCTTGAAGTGGGATGGAGTTACCTACTTTGTTTCAGTCTGGCCTGCCCCTTGAACAGCTTGAGCAGGGACGGAATTACCTACTGTGTTTCAGTCTGGCCTACCCCTTGGACAGCTTGAAGTGGGACGGAGTTACCTACTGTGTTTCAGTCTGGCCTACTCCTTGGACAGCTTGAAGTGGGACGGAGTTACCTACTGTGTTTCAGTCTGGCCTACCCCTTGGACAGCTTGAAGTGGGACAGAGTTACCTACTGTGTTTCAGTCTAGCCTACTCCTTGGACAGCTTGAAGTGGGACAGAGTTACCTACTGTGTTTCAGTCTGGCCTGCTCCTTTGACAGCTTGAAGTGGGACAGAGTTACCTACTGTGTTTCAGTCTGGCCTGCTCCTTTGACAGCTTGAAGTGGGACGGAGTTACCTACTGTGTTTCAGTCTGGCCTACCCCTTGGACAGCTTGAAGTGGGACAGAGTTACATACTGTGTTTCAGTCTGGTCTGCCCCTTGGACAGCTTGAAGTGGGACGGAGTTACCTACTGTGTTTCAGTCTGGCCTACCCCTTGGACAGCTTGAAGTGGGATGGAGTTACCTACTGTGTTTCAGTCTGGCCTGCCCCTTGAACAGCTTGAGAAGGGACGGAGTTACCTACTGTGTTTCAGTCTGGCCTACCCCTTGGACAGCTTGAAGTGGGACAGAGTTACCTACTGTGTTTCAGTCTGGTCTGCCCCTTGGACAGCTTGAAGTGGTACAGAGTTACATACTGTGTTTCAGTCTGGCCTACCCCTTGGACAGCTTGAAGTGGGATGGAGTTACCTACTGTGTTTCAGTCTGGCCTACCCCTTGGACAGCTTGAAGTGGGATGGAGTTACCTACTTTGTTTCAGTCTGGCCTGCCCCTTGAACAGCTTGAGCAGGGACGGAATTACCTACTGTGTTTCAGTCTGGCCTACCCCTTGGACAGCTTGAAGTGGGACGGAGTTACATACTGTGTTTCAGTCTGGCCTACTCCTTGGACAACTTGAAGTGGGACGGAGTTACCTACTGTGTTTCAGTCTGGCCTACCCCTTGGACAGCTTGAAGTAGGACGGAGTTACCTACTGTGTTTCAGTCTGGTCTGCCCCTTGGACAGCTTGAAGTGGGATGGAGTTACTTACTGTGTTTCAGTCTGGCCTACTCCTTGGACAGCTTGAAGTGGGATGGAGTTACCTACTGTGTTTCAGTCTAGCCTACTCCTTTGACAGCTTGAAGTGGGACGGAGTTACCTACTGTGTTTCAGTCTGGCCTACTCCTTGGACAGCTTGAAGTGGGACAGAGTTACCTACTGTGTTTCAGACTAGCCTACTCCTTGGACAGCTTGAAGTGGGACAGAGTTACCTACTGTGTTTCAGTCTGGTCTGCCCCTTGGACAGCTTGAAGTGGGACGGAGTTACCTACTGTGTTTCAGTCTGGTCTGCCCCTTGGACAGCTTGAAGTGGGACAGAGTTACCTACTGTGTTTCAGTCTGGCCTACCCCTTGGACAGCTTGAAGTGGGATGGAGTTACCTACTGTGTTTCAGTCTGGTCTGCCCCTTGGACAGCTTGAAGTGGGACGGAGTTACCTACTGTGTTTCAGTCTGGCCTACCCCTTGGACAGCTTGAAGTGGGATGGAGTTACCTACTGTGTTTCAGTCTGGCCTGCTCCTTTGACAGCTTGAAGTGGGATGGAGTTACCTACTGTGTTTCAGTCTGGTCTGCCCCTTGGACAGCTTGAAGTGGGACAGAGTTACCTACTGTGTTTCAGTCTGGCCTACTCCTTGGACAGCTTGAAGTGGGACGGAGTAACCTACTGTGTTTCAGTCTGGCCTACCCCTTGGACAGCTTGAAGTGGGACAGAGTTACCTACTGTGTTTCAGTCTAGCCTACTCCTTGGACAGCTTGAAGTGGGATGGAGTTACCTACTGTGTTTCAGTCTGGCCTGCTCCTTTGACAGCTTGAAGTGGGACGGAGTAACCTACTGTGTTTCAGTCTGGCCTACCCCTTGGACAGCTTGAAGTGGGACAGAGTTACCTACTGTGTTTCAGTTTGGCCTACCCCTTGGACAGCTTGAAGTGGGACAGCGTTACCTACTGTGTTTCAGTCTAGCCTGCTCCTTTGACAGCTTGAAGTGGGACGGAGTTACCTACTGTGTTTCAGTCTGGCCTGCCCCTTGGACAGCTTGAAGTGGGATGGAGTTACCTACTGTGTTTCAGTCTGGCCTGCCCCTTGAACAGCTTGAGAAGGGACGGAGTTACCTACTGTGTTTCAGTCTGGCCTACCCCTTGGACAGCTTGAAGTGGGACAGAGTTACCTACTGTGTTTCAGTCTGGCTTGCTCCTTTGACAGCTTGAAGTGGGACAGAGTTACCTACTGTGTTTCAGTCTGGCCTACCCCTTGGACAGCTTGAAGTGGGACAGAGTTACCTACTGTGTTTCAGTCTGGCCTACCCCTTGGACAGCTTGAAGTGGGACGGAGTTACCTACTGTGTTTCAGTCTGGCCTGCTCCTTGGACAGCTTGAAGTGGGACAGTTTCTGCTCTTGGTCTTCCACCTCGGCCTCTAGCCTCATCTGTGTTCGGGACTCTATGGCATTGTTCTGCATTGCCTGCAATTGGATTTTATGTAGCTAAGACATAGTCTGTGCCAAATGGTTCAAGCATGGTTCACATACTGATGAAGCAGTGTAATCACAAGAAACATTATTGTGTTGACATAAATGAAGCAATGTTTTTTTCTGGTTCAAGTCTGCCCATGTGAAACTGGTTCAAGTCTCGTGCTGGCCATGTGAGACTGATCTAAGTCTAGTTCTTACCATGTGAGACAGATTCAAGTCTAGTTCTGGGTATGTGAGACTGGTTCAAGTCTAGTTCTGACCATGTGATACTGATTGAAATCTAGTTCTGAGTATGTGAGACTGGTTCAAGTCTAGTGCTGACTATGTGAGACAGATTCAAGTCTAGTGCTGACAATGTGAGACTGGTTCAAGAAAAGTGCTGAATATGTGAGACTGGTTCAAGTCTAGTGGAGACCTGTGAGACTGGTTCAAGTCTCATGCTGACTATGTGAGACAGGTTCAAGTCTCATACCGACCATGTGAGACTGGTTCAAGTCTTTAGGGACCATGTGAGACAGGTTCGAGCCTAGTGGAGACCTGGTGACTCTGGTGACTCTGGTTCAAGTCTTATGCAGACCATGTGAGACAGGTTCGAGCCTAGTGGAGACCTGGTGACTCTGGTGACTCTGGTTCACGTCTTATGCAGACCATGTGAGACAGGTTCGAGCCTAGTGGCGACCTGGTGACTCTGGTTCACGTCTTATGGGGACCATGTGAGACAGGTTCGAGTCTAGTGGAGACCTGGTGACTCTGGTTCAAGTCTTATGCAGACCATGTGAGACAGGTTCGAGTCTAGTTGAGACCTGGTGACTCTGGTTCAAGTCTTATGCAGACCATGTTAAGTAGTTACTGTCTAGTATAATGTACACATACCTGTAACTGGTCGCTGGAATGGTAGCCCCTGTACACCACCTTGCCAATGTTAAAACCAACCCTTTCTGAGCGGTGGATCAGTTGAGTGTATGTTCCAAGGTCATTCAATATGCAAGATTTCTCAAGAAAAGCCCCATAGCTGCAACACAAACAAATAGGATTACGTATGGAGGTTAAAACTTAAAACCATAACATATTCAAAGCAATTCCACAACATAGGACACTATCAAGTCAAGATAAATGAACTATTTTCATTAAGTGTAACAGAGTAACAAGTAACAGACAATCATAACATGTGAAACAAACTTGAGAAGAGCAACACGATTAGTTTCTTTGATTGTTGTTTAACATCATGCTCAGGCTTACTCCAGCCATTAGTTTGTAAATAATCAAATCAGGACCAGACAACTCAGTGATTGATATTATGATGAATAAGCCATGCCATCCTAGTGTGATAAAATGCAATCAACCGAGTCTGACCTCTTACTCGTAATCCATCTATAGGTTGCTGGGGACCAATTCTGACCTGTCCCCTCAGGGAGATCAACACATGACTGCAGTAACATTAGAAGTTGAGCAAGTACCTGAGCTTTCCAACAAAGGCAATGACATCTGCACATACTGCGCTGAAAGAAGAAAAGGATCCAATAAACACAGCAGTCCCACATCTTTGAGGAACAGTTCATCTGGCTAGTATATACTTAAAGTCATAGTACACATAATATATATTTTTCTAACTGAAATATATGAAACTAGAACTTCAACTTGGACAAGAACTCGTCACATAAAGGGACATGCAAACTTTGTAATATTCTTAGTGTGAGAGACAGATATCTAAAGTTTAGAAAAGTGATATTTTCACAGCAGTGACAGGACTGGGATATCTTCACTGCAGTGAAAATAACACTTTGCCAGTACTACCGGTAACGAAGTTGCCTGCCAGTGCGTGAAGAGCATTGCCAGGCTTTGGAACATTTCCATTTCCGTGTTAACAGTTATCCAGTAAAATATCTAATTGATAAAAGCTCTTCTCTACTTTATTTGTTTGAAACTCTTCCTATTTTAACAGCCATGCTTAAAAAACATTGCTTAGCAATTGCACCTCCCAGTTTTGTTTGGCGCCATATATGTTGTCTAAATTTGACGTTTTAATGTGCTTGTAAGTTAGATAAAAGACCTCAAACAGAAAAGGTGTATTCATTAAATCAGAAGGTGTGAAATAAACTCTCAGCAGTACGTAAATTAAATCAAATTAATTTAAGCATTTTACGGAGTTTATTAATTGTTTTAATCATTTTTGAAAACTGGCACTATACATGTATCTTATTTGTTTGCAGGAAGCAATGTGTGAAAAAGGTCTATGTGTACAGTAGGGAGAATTTAGATTATATGTTTTAATTGTTTTTGGTAATTTTTGTAAACACTATCAACAACAAATGAAGTATATATATAATAAATAAGACATTTCATGTGTCTCGTAAAATATGCTGTATCTTCTTTTCCACTGCACTCAATGAGAGCTCATTTCAGTAGACACATCAAATATCCTCTATAGAATGACCCCAACTCTGTTTGAGTGTGTTACGTCCAGAGTTGTCTGTCATCATTGAAACGTGGCTGACACGACAACTTACTTGATGAGGTCAGCAATGGGGTCGTGGGTGGTGTCAAGCTGCAAGTACATGAGGCTATAGTTCAACTTCATTCCTTTCAATTACACAGACAAATACAATAGCTTTCATTACAATCACACACAGAAAGACATGATACTATTTTAGAAAGGTAACAAGTTTGTAGTACTACAGATATCATACACAATTAAGCCTTAAATATATTGGATAAGGACATAATCTTCATACATTATGTATACAGTATATCGCCGTCTATAAAGCGACCCCACGTATAAGGCGACCGATGCTAATTTCAATACCCCATCTACAAAGTGAATCGGAATGAAGCACATCACCAGCGCATACACAATCCCTACATTTGCAATAAAAACAACTTAAAAAATATGACTTTCAGCGAGTCAATGTATGACATTTATGATAAATGTGTCCATTCTCTATCCACTAAAGTTTGTTTCAAGGCTGCAGTAATCTGACCATGGTTGCTGTAAATAACGATGAGTTGTGCGATCTTCCGATCACTTCACATACAATTTCACCGAAATGAATGTAAACAATATTGAATGAAATTTTGAATAAAATTAATAAAATAGATTACAAACATAAGTCCAGATATACAATGAACACTCTTATAACCAGACAGTGTAATTACATGATTAGTTTGTGTACTTCAGTATGTATTTATTGTATCCATGGTATTTCTGGTATTTCAGGTGCTCACAGTAATGTCTTTGTGTTGGGGGAAAAAACATCAAAACTCTTCAACCCTGTGTATAAGATGCCCCCTTGAAAGCCCCTCATTTCTAGGTCGAAACACTTGTCTTATACACAGCAATATATGGTAATATTGCAATGAGAAATTCCCATGACATCAATCAAATATTTATTATAAGATTTGTTCAATGTTAGATATTAAAACATAAACTCATGACAAGTGATAATTGAGGCCTTGGAGGCGTTCCCCATACTCTGTTAGAGTTGTGTTGTCACCTACCATCTTCACAACATCTACGATGGAGTAGAACAACATCAGCTTTACTGTGATCATGGTGTCATCATTTGTCCGCACATCTCGAACCTGCAACACACACTCTAATGTAGCGGATGTTGTCATCACTGTCACATCAGGAGGCAAAGGGCTTGACATCACTGTCACATCAGGGGGCACAGTGTCTGACGCACTGTCACATCGGGGGCCACAGGGTCTGACATCACTGTCACATCAGGGGGCACAGGGTCTGACGTCACTGTCACATCTGGGGGCACAGGGTCTGACATCACTGTCACATCAGGGGGCACAGGGTCTGACATCACTGTCACATTGGGGGGCACAGGGTCTGACGTCACTGTCACATCAGGGGGCACAGGGTCTGACATCACTGTCACATTGGGGGGCACAGTTTCTGACGTCAATGTCACATTGGGGGGCACAGGGTCTGACATCACTGTAACATCAGGGGGCGAAGGGTCTGACGTCACTGTCACATCAGGGGGCACAGGGTCACACATCAATGTCACATCAGGGGGCAAAGGGTCTGATGTCACTGTCACATCAGGGGGCACAGGGTCTGACATCACTGTCACATCATGGGGGGCACAGGGTCTGACGTCACTGTCACATTGGGGGGCACTGGGTCTGACATCACTGTCACATCAGGGGGCACAGGGTCTGACGTCACTGTCACATCAGGGGGCACAGGGTCCCACGTCACTGTCACATCAGGGGGCACAGGGTCTGACGTCACTGTCACATTGGGGGGCACAGGGTCTCATGTCACTGTCACATCAGGGGGCACAGTTTCTGACATCACTGTCACATCAGGGGGCACAGGGTCTGACGTCACTGTCACATTGGGGGGCACAGGGTTTCACGTCACTGTCACATTAGGGGGCACAGGGCCTGACGTCAATGTCACATCAGGGGGCAGAGAGTCTCACGTCACTGTCACATCAGGGGGCACAGGGTCTGACGTCACTGTCACATTAGGGGGCACATGGTCTGACATCACTGTCACATCATGGGGCACAGGGCTTGACATCACTGTCACATCAGGGGGCACAGTGTCTGACGTTACTGTCACATCGGGGGCCACAGGGTCTGACATCACTGTCACATTGGGGGGCACAGGGTCTGACGTCACTGTCCCATTGGGGAGCACAGGGTCTCACGTCACTGTCACATCAGGAGGGACAGGGTCTCACGTCACTGTAACATCAGGGGGGACAGGGTCTCATGTCACTGTCACATCAGGGGGCACAGGGTCTCATGTCACTGTCACATCAAGGGGCACAGGATATCATGTCACTGTCACATCAGGGGGCACAGGGTCTGACGTCACTGTCACATCAGGGGGCACAGAGTCTGACGTCACTGTCACATCAGGGGGCACAGGTTCTGACGTCACTGTCATTTTAATGGGCACAGGGTCTCATGTCACTGTCACATCAGGGGGCACAGGGTCTGACGTCACTGTCACATCAGGGGGCACAGGGTCTGACGTCACTGTCACATCAGGGGGCACAGGGTCTGACGTCACTGTCACATCAGGAGGGACAGGGTCTCAAGTCACTGTAACATCAGGGGGCAAAGGGTCTCATGTCACTGTCACATCAAGGGGCACAGGGTCTCATGTCACTGTCACATCAGGGGGCACAGGGTCTGACGTCACTGTCACATCAGGGGGCACAGGGTCTCACGTCACTATCACATCAGGGGGCTGAGGGTCTCAAGTCACTGTCAAAACAGGGGGCACAGGGTCTCATGTCACTGTCACATCAGAGGGCAAAGGGTCTGACATCACTGTCACATCAGGGGGCACAGGGTCTGACATCACTGTCACATCAGGGGGCACAGCGTCTGACGTCACTGTCACATTAGAGCAAAAACAGATTTGCTAGGAGGGATCTACTCCTACTCACATTATAATAGAACTGATCTGGGATGACTGTAAGCTGGGTGAACTTGTTGTATGCGGGGATCATCCGGCCCTGGTTGTCCAGGTCACTGCCATGCCAGCTAAACGTATGCATCCTGGAAACAGCAGAGGAGAATACTACAACAGTCTTATAGTCTTAGCCGGACACTTGATTGTGTGCATCCTGCAAACAGCAGAGGAGAATACTACAACAGTCTTACAGTCTTAGCGGGCCACTTGATTGTGTGCATCCTGCAAACAGCAGAGGAGAATACTACAACAGTCTTACAGTCTTAGCGGGCCACTTGATTGTGTGCATCCTGCAAACAGCAGAGGAGAATACTACAACAGTCTTATAGTCTTAGCGGGCCACATGATTGTGTGCATCCTGCAAACAGCAGAGGAGAATACTACAACAGTCTTATAGTCTTAGCGGGCCACTTGATTGTGTGCATCCTGCAAACAGCAGAGGAGAATACTACAACGGTCTTATAGGCTTAGCGGGCCAACTGAATGTGTGCATCCTGCAAACAGCAGAGGAGAATACTACAACAGTCTTATAGTCTTAGCGGGCACTTGATTGTGTGCATCCTGCAAACAGCAGAGGAGAATACTACAACAGTCTTATAGGCTTAGCGGGCCAACTGAATGTGTGCATCCTGCAAACAGCAGAGGAGAATACTACAACAGTCTTATAGTCTTAGCGGGCCAACTGAATGTGTGCATCCTGCAAACAGCAGAGGAGAATACTACAACAGTCTTATAGTCTTAGCGGGCCACTTGATTGTGTGCATCCTGCAAACAGCAGAGGAGAATACTACAACAGTCTTACAGTCTTAGCGGGCCACTTGATTGTGTGCATCCTGCAAACAGCAGAGGAGAATACTACAACAGTCTTATAGTCTTAGCGGGCCACATGATTGTGTGCATCCTGCAAACAGCAGAGGAGAATACTACAACGGTCTTATAGTCTTAGCGGGCCACATGATTGTGTGCATCCTGCAAACAGCAGAGGAGAATACTACAACAGTCTTATAGTCTTAGCGGGCCACTTGATTGTGTGCATCCTGCAAACAGCAGAGGAGAATACTACAACAGTCTTACAGTCTTAGCGGGCCACATGATTGTGTGCATCCTGCAAACAGCAGAGGAGAATACTACAACAGTCTTATAGTCTTAGCGGGCCAACTGATTGTGTTCATCCTGCAAACAGCAGAGGAGAATACTACAACAGTCTTATAGTCTTAGCGGGCCACTTGATTGTGTGCATCCTGCAAACAGCAGAGGAGAATACTACAACAGTCTTATAGTCTTAGCGGGGCCACTTGATTGTGTGCATCCTGCAAACAGCAGAGGAGAATACTACAACAGTCTTACAGTCTTAGCGGGCCACTTGATTGTGTGCATCCTGCAAACAGCAGAGGAGAATACTACAACGGTCTTATAGTCTTAGCGGGCCACTTGATTGTGTGCATCCTGCAAACAGCAGAGGAGAATACTACAACAGTCTTACAGTCTTAGCGGGCCAACTGATTGTGTTCATCCAGCAAACAGCAGAGGAGAATACTACAACAGTCTTATAGTCTTAGCGGGCCACTTGATTGTGTGCATCCTGCAAACAGCAGAGGAGAATACTACAACAGTCTTTTAGTATTGCTGGGTTAGTGGTTCAGCTAATGCTTTTGTGATGAATACAAATTTGGTACGTCAATCCAATGGATCCAGCTACGGAACTTCTTACCACTCTTCTGCCTGGGGAACAAACACTACCGGGCCCTGTATGACCCGACGCTGAACATTGCTGTCCTTCAGTCTCTTGTAGACCACTACCATGTGGTTGGCATCCAGCTTCCATGCGTTTTCTGTCTTGATGGAGTCGAGAATCAGAGGGTTGAAGAAAACCTCGCACGGTCTGGCAATATCAACATGATCAATACAAAAATATCGACTGGCCAACAGTTTTACAAACATTTTGAACATATGATAAATCATACTCTATACTAACCATGCACAACATGGTTCATGAAATTAATAGTATTAATAGATATTTGATGAAGATTTTCTACTTGATCATTTGAAGATCTTTTTCCCAAAGTACACTTCAAGCCATTGGTGTTTATATGTAGCCCCTTCACTTTATTCTATATCAAAGCAAAAAGAAAACACCAGTAAGTGGCAATGTTGGTGTTGTTGGTTTGTTGTTTAGGCCAGGCGTTTTATATTTTTTGGATTACAGACCCGCCAACTCTAATTTTTGAGAAAATGTAAAAAATATATGATTTCCATTTTTCCCCCCGCCAATAGTTGCATAGTCAGTTATTTTATTTGTTATCATCACCTTTTAATAAAAAAAAATGAATTTACCATTGTAAACGAGTAAAGAGAAACATAATCGATCTTTGTTGATCTTGAAGCCGAACATGAATAGTCTCCCTTGACAATTGTCTGTGTTTTAAGTGGCACAGAATATGTTCATAAAGTATGCCAGAGGAATTCTGCATTTGCCTGCATTCCCTTGCAAACATTAGAAAACATCTAATTAACATTCAGGATACGAACAACTGTGTTGGGGATGTTATTTTTAACCTTAGTAGGTGAACAGGAGTAAGTAATGTCGGCACATGCATCAACTCAAGAAACTTTGAAAGATGACATGTTGACTGAACTAAGTACAACAACTTTTTGTATGTTGCTGTCTGGCTTTCCCCCCCCTCCTCCAACCCTGGACTTTGGGCTGAAAAATCTGTAATATTAAAAATAAAAAAAGCCTGGCCTTAACACTGCACTCCACAATATTCCAGCTATATGATGGCGGTCTGTAAATAATTGAGTCTGGACCAGACAATCCAGTGATTGACATCATGAGCATGGATCCACACAATTGGGATCCATGACATGCATCAACCAAGTCAGACAGCCTGGCCACCCGATCCCGTTAGTCGCTTCTTATGACAAGCATAGTCACCCCAACTGGCAATGAAAGACACAACATTTCACAATAACCTCAGAGATGATCTTGACTATTGATGTGCAAACACATTGCATGTGATTTGATAAGACACATGCAAACATAAACCTCCATACCTGTAAACATACCCATGACTCAGAAACTGACAATAGTATCAACCTGTGGCTAATCTTGACCCATACTTTTTTTAAAGAAGGGCACCATATTCAAGAAGGCATGTACTTAACGATACATAAATTAACTCGTTTGGAGAAATTGTTACCAAAACATTTTTGTGAGTTTATTTGATCCATAACCTTGACCATGTGGGCCTCCAACTTTCTCATTGGGTAGTCGCCAAGGGAGAAATAAATACCTTTGACGTCAACATTGTCAATAAAGTTTGTGTATTGGGCAGTAGAGAAATCACCTGCAGTGACAATGGTCAAATTTCAACAAAACCTTAAACTACATTTCATGGTGATAGGTTTTCAAATGAAAATATGATTAGAAGAAAAAACAAGTTGTGGCTAATTCTGCCACAACTGAAAAAGAGGATATTCATGATGAAAAAGCTTGAAAAATAATCAATAATTTTATTAAAAAGATGGAACATCCTAGCCATCTAACTGGAGTAGTGTTACTATGAGAAGATCATTGGAAACAGCTGTTATCATCTGGAACCTTCACTGGAGTTAAAGTAAATACATGTATATAGATAAGAAATTCCAAAAATACAAAAGGCAGCCCTTGACCACTTAATTGATAAATGCTTCACGAGTAACACTCTGGAAAAGAACCCTTCATCCACTGGAATGTTTTTGTCAGGGACATTGGGAAAACCGGGAAATCTCTGGAAATCAAACAGCACATCTTCTCGGGGCAAGAGAGTTAACTGACTATAAAAGTCCACTTTCCACCCTTGCCAAACTAGGCTGGTATTATGGAGTTACATTTTGGCTGGACTAACGAGTCTATGCATAGTCCAATCAAAATCGCGCACCGAAATCGAAATCCGGTTCATAAACTGTCGTGCAGATTTTGGTCGATTGCAGGATTTGCAAAGCATGTCCACCGCTAACTCGTCAACAGATATTTTCCAAATCTTTACATGATTTTAATCAAGGTGCTCACGTGAGTTGAGGGACATTACCGGTAATAGCCACTGGTGGCGCTACGATCGAGCCCAGTAATTCCAGCCTAGTTCGTCAAGGATGGAAACTGGACTTTTAAAGTCAGTTAACTCTCTTGCCTCGGGAAGATGCCATTCCTATATCCCCATCCTATTTCATGTATACAGCTTTTGAGTTATGCCCCAGAAACAAACCCTCATTTGAACCTGAGCTGTGGTCATGGAACATGATAAAAATTTCTAAAATTCCTAAATAGCAAAAGGCACAAGTTTATGTCTAGATGGACATCTGATGGGGAGGTGTGGTGTTATTGCAACATGCATGCTGAAAACCTATACCGTGGACACATACCCCTGCTTGTGTTTCACCACACCATCCTTGTCTTTCATCACAAGATACTGGTTGGCATCAGCTGTGTAGCGGTCCAGAAGGTGCAGGCGCTTCCGGAACAGATAAATCTGCAGGACCAACAGTGACTGATTATCCCCGGCACAGAGGCTTAACTTCATGATGTAACACTGGTTGAGCATTTTATCAGTACTCAAGTGGATATAACAGTTATGATCATATAATGATAATGGGTAGGTTTTTCGGGAAGATAAAGCCAATGGACAAAAATGTTTGGGTTCATACAAAGATAAAGATGCAAATATACACAAAGAAAAAAGTTAAGCTCACGTGCCATGCCTGGTATGCCCGTGCAGCATGCTACCCTCGAGTTTCTCTAAAAGTAGTATATCCAAACGTTAAAATTGCTTTCTTAAGCTCGGTCTTAAACAGCTTTTCCATGACATTGTGTGACCATGGCACGAAGGCGATTATCAAACGCCACAAGATGGCAAATAATCGGAAGCATAATGCACAAATGTCTTGGAATGCCACTGGTCGGAATATGCAATATCATCACACTGGCATAAGCAGTTTAGTTGAGAAACATGCTCAGACCTGTGATGTACAGGACCATCCTTGATCCGGAAGACCTCCTGTGACGACACATCACAAAGACAGGGACCTTCTTCGTCTAATACACCGAGAACCCTTTTTAACAAGTACCGGTGCTTGTCTGAAACAGCTGTGGTTGCCCGATCATTGTTTCAGCACCAGAACTGTCAGGAGCCGGCTGAAAGCAGCAGGACTGAGGGCTAGACGAGTCATAAAGCGTCCCTTGTTGAGAGATCACCACAAAGCTCCTCATTTAGCATGGTGTACTGTGCGACATAACTTGAATCTGAGAATTTGGAGACAGATCCATTGGTCAGACGAAAGTCGCTTTCTGCTCCACGTCACTGATGGAAGAATGAGAGTTTGGAGGCACCGGAACACGGCCTACTCCCCCAGGAACATTAAACCGACTGTTGTATACTGTGGGGGCTCGGTAATGGTTTGGGTGTGTATCTCTCATGATTGCAGGTTGGATTTGGTCACCATAAGGGACAACTTAACAGGGGCTCAGAGCATCTGGGACGTTTTTGAGCCCAGTCGCCATTCCTCATTTTGACAACCACACTCTTGCTACTTGACCTCAGTACATGGATGACAATGCCAGGCCTCATCGTTCGCATGCAGTCGTGGATTACATGAGGGCCAATGCAATAACGACTCTACCCTGGCCAGCAATGAGCCCAGATTTGAACCCCCTTGAACATGTTTGGGATATTCTGGGGTAGCACATACAGGCACGAGATCCTCCTGTACAAGATTTACGCCAATTGGAAGCAGCATTGCATCAGGAGTGGTTGTTGTTGACCCATCAACAGATCCAATGTCTGACTGGAGGCGTGAGATGTAGGGTGGAATGTGTCATCCAGGCACGTGACGGTTATACCCGATAGGTACTGTACAGACACGCACAGAATTTAAGAATGACATTGTAGTAAACTATGGTTATAACAAACTCAAAGGGACCACAAATTTCAGTTTGTTATAATGGTAGTTTGTTATAACAGTAGTTTGTTATAAGCATATGTACAGCATATGTACAACAAATGGCCGGGACAAAAATATAAGTTCATTATATCCGTCAGTTTGTTATAAGCATGTTTGTTATAAACGTAGTTTACAGTAAATGATAAAGAAGTTATCATGTTTGTGTGTTTTGGGGCGGTAATCTGGAAATTGTTTTCAATGAGCAATTACTTATTTCATTTTGTTTTGTGAATATCTGTGGAGGCTAATTTAAGAAATTCCGCCATGTTAACATATGCATAGACTTTGGTGGCGTGCAGACTTTGATGACAGGGCTGTATAGCAAGGACAGGAGGAAGAAAGCATTTTGCCGACTTACTCTCTGTGGTCCAATCACAAGGGCCCCCTCTCCAAGGTGATTGTAGACAACAGCTTGCTCCCCTTCTTTCACGGTCTTGAACTTCATCTTGTTTTAGACTCTTGGTAGAAATAGTAATGTTTGTCGTGTTTCGTTCGGTTCTTGCCCAGAAATTACTGTTTATACACGACCTGCAAAATACACACAGACAGCACACACAACAGCCTGGCGAATCACACAGTCCCATATAACACGTACAAACATAATAACGACATCGTCACTTCGTCTGTGCTCAGGGCTGTTACCTTTCCCTTTGGCAGCTTCGTGAATAACTTCGACCTGGTCTGAGTCTGACAATGCCGAGAGTTAATGTATTCCAATACTAGCAGTAGACATCAGTTACCAGAATTAGATACATTCAGAAATCGTGATACAAAGCAAACGTCGTGACTCGTTGTTCTATATCCGTGTCTCTCATGTTTGTTTACGTTATGACTTCCTGGTGCATTCGGATATCATCGTATTCTATCGCATAGCAATCGGAACACACTTTCGAATTCACGTGGATAGGCACACGGAACTCGATGATAGCGTGTATATAGAGAAAACAAATCACACCCCTCTATATAGTCTGTATAAAAGGGTGTGGTTTTTTTCTATACGAATATATTATGTTATACACGCTATCATCAGAGACCATAGACTATATGGTCTCTGCTATCATCGAGTTCCTGTGGATAGGCATGGTAATGGGGTTGGATTCCAATCAAAATGCACCAGCCGTTTTGGTGATAACGGCCCATTTTATTGAATTGTAGTCAAATCGGCCTAGTATCAGAATGGACTCAAAACTGAAAAAAGTCCATTTGGCCTTGCAACAAAGCAGTTTAATGGGCGCGGCTCGCCCTCTACCAACAGCTCAATTCACGCGCTATAGCACTACCGTGGCTCACGCGCGAGGGCACTCGGCTGCACTCATCTCAGAGAGCTCTTACCAGCTCATAATTTTGTGAACATAAAAAAATCTGCCTCCATCGGCCTGTAAAAAAATAACTCAGGCTCAATAAAAAAGTCTCGGCCACCTGAACATGGCCATCTTCATCAATGTAGAGTATTTCGTTTACAAAGCCATAATCTGTGACAGAGAGACATGCCCATGAGAGGCATTATGTCTGTAACTCTTATTTATTAAAAATCATTTCAAATCTTCTATTTCAAGAGGACATATACAAGTCACTGTATTGTATCCTTGGACAAGGTATCCTTGAACTGGACCAATGTCAAGGAAGATACTTGTATTGTCAAAAGACACGAATTAATAACATCATTACAAGTTATTCAATGGGAATAAAGTTGGCCTAAATGTACCCTATTGCAGTTGGACATGCAACAGTTATGAAGATGGAGGGTTTGTTGTGGTCGGATGGCAAAGATGGGGTTGTTGTAAGGGCTTGCCTTGTCGTTTCGATTGCCTGTTGGCAATTGTTGGACCATTCGCAAAAATGCGTGTTTTTTCAGAAGGTTGCAATTGTATCGAGTGGAGGCGATATCAGAGAAGTTTGCCACATGATTGCGATAATACAGGTCAAACCTAAGAAATGACGTATGTCGTGGACATTTTTAGGGGATAGGATCCCTGGGACTTAATATATTTTTGAAGGATCCAAAGGGATGTCATCTTTGCTGAAGATATGTCTTAATTAGGTGTCTAGTTTTGTCGCGAATTTACATTTGCTTGGTTTTAGAGTGAGTCCTGCTTCTTTGATCTTTTGGAATACTGTCTTGGGGTTTCAATTGTTCTGGAAACGTTACAAGAATTATGATGTCATCTACATATATTAATATAATTATAGTGCAAATCATTTCAATACTTTCATTTAAAATAGTGCAAAACATTTCAATACTTTTAGTTAAAATTTAATTGATCTAAATACCTTATTTAAAATTTCATTGATCTAAATACCTAATTGGTTCAACTTGTTTCCAAGTGCACCGACATTCTATGCCCTTTGTCTGTTTAGTATATTCAGCAACTATTCGGCGTATCCCCTCCTATCATAAGCCCCCTCCGGGCAGACCCTTAATCTCCAGCACTATCTACAAATGTCAATTAACACCTCCTTATGTCGGGGACCTTACGTATATACATTCACGTGGGACAGTGACCCTAAATAATATAATGAATGTTTTACCTCTATCTATAAAACCTGACTGACATCATAAAAAAAATAAAAATGAAATAAATAAACTACAAACAGGCCACACTAAGTTAAACTCCCACCTACACCAAATTAAAAAAACACTAGTAGTTGTGTACATTACCCGAGAACCGCTCCTGGCTTCTGATTGGTCGAGAGGATCACGTGACCTCTGTGACGTCACATCCGGTCACGTGACCTGCGCATGCGCGCGGGGCATGATGGGACTTGCGTGCGCATCCAAGATGGCGTCCCATCCGTTTCCGGTGGCGCGCGCATCCAAGATGTCGTCGCATCCGTGTCCGGTGGCGCGCGCCTTCAAGATGGCGTCGCCTCCGTGTCCGGTGGCGTGCGCCTTCAAGATGGCGTCGCCTCCGTGTCCGTTGGCGTGCGCCTCCAAGAGGGCGTCGCCTCCGTTTCCGGGGAGGAGGAGGGATGGGGAAAAACCCGGAGAAGCGCACGTACAAGGTGAACAAGATCGACAGGGTTGTTGTTGTGGTGTGGTTCTAAAAATAGAAATAGAAAAGGCGGTGGGGGTGAAGGGAGGGAGGGAGGGAAGGGGGGGGGGGGGGGGGGGGAGGAGAGGAGGAGGAGGAGGCGGGGTGGGTTCACGGTGTGGTGGAGGGTGGGTTGGAGGGTCGTCAAAGCAAAGGAGGAAAAGCTGTCTTTCGGGAGAGATGGGTGGCCCTGAAAAGGGCCTTTTTGATGTTCACATGCATGTGCATCCCATGGTGCAAAGGCACGGGTGGATTTTCATTTCCCGTCTGACAGGACACCTACTGGTGTGCGTTAACCGCCGCACGTAGGTGTCCTTGAGGATGGTCTTACAGTACACACATTCGAAAGTACCATCCCGTGCCCTTGTGCCAAGGGCGTACACAGGTAAGCACCCTTGGCATTTACCGCATTGCCATGGAGGTAGCGATGGCAATGGCGGTACTTCTTCTTCTTTCTTCTCCAACTCCGAGCGACACCCTTTGCACAGTGGCAAAGGGTGCACCACTGAGGCGAGCTCCAGATCCCAGTTTTCAGCCATTCTTGATTTTTCGAATAAATTTTACAAGTGACACTGACCCACTCGAATCCACTCTTGTTTTATAGGGGAGGCACTGACACCCTGCTTCCTGGTTGGTTCGCCAGGCCGCAGCTCCGATTGGTTCGTTCCGGGGCCTCGCCCGCACCTCGGTTTTCCAAAACGACCCGACCCCTGTGTTTCTTTTCCATAGGAAATGGATTTTAACATGGGAGAGAAAGCACAACCCCGGTTCGGCCAATCAGGGTCCCGCCTGGTCCGAGCGCCGCCTCTGATTGGTCGGCAACCCAGGCTTCCGATTGGTCCGATTTCGATCCGTTTTTTTCCTTGGGTAGCCTTGGTATTGTTTTAGGTAGACGGTCGTCTGAATGCTAAAGGAAAGGTGGACCTTCATAGGTAGACATGAACGTGGGAATGCCTACGCGATGTACGTTGTGTCACTCCCATGCCAATCGGAGTGTCATGTGTGTATGTGTGAGTGTGGATGTCTTCAAACAGACGTTGACGTTGATGCATAGAATAGCGTGTTGTCAAGCAAAACGTGGTGTCCTGTGTGTGTGTGTGTGACTACAACCATGGGTGTCGTATGGAGATGAATAGAGAAAGATCGATACACCTGCGTGACGTTTGCACACGTCATGGACTTCGTGTCGCGATGTGAACGTCATGTACTTTGTGTGTTGCCATGCAAACGTTGTGTCATGTGTGTGTGTGTTTTCAAATTATTATTATTATTATTATTATTGAAGGATACCGAGGTGTTGACATCCGTGTAAGTCGACAGACGTACTGTGACACGTGTTTTCATGCACACGTGATGTTTGACGTGGTGTACTACGTGTCTCTATTGATCTATTGATATATATCTATGTATTGTATTTTTAGACGTGTGCCTCCAAGAGGTCTAGGGGGGAGGGTGTGGGTTCTTTGTTTTTTTTTGAGGGGTGGGGTTTAGCAAAGCAAAGGAGGAAAGTTGTCTTTTGGGTGAGATGGGTGGCCCTGAAAAGGGCCGTTTTGGGGAAGAAAAACTTTTCTGCTGCTGCTGTCCAAGAAGAACGATCATGTCCAAGCTTCATGACAAGACAAGGATCGTCGAAGCGGTACTTGTAACCATCTGGGTATGTCATCGGGGTGCCCACCGTGGCACCACTTGTGGGTCCAACAAAGAAAAGCTTGTTGGAAACAGGAAGCGGAAACAGACTGAACCAACCACAACAACAACAGCAGTAGACAAACGGGAACTTGAACGGGAACTTGAATGGGAACTTGAACAGGAACGCAGGACACGGGAAACGTCCTCCTAGGCAGCCGGCTGCGCTACGTCATTCGTGTACCTCTGTTTCTGGTGTTTCAACAGGCCGGTGAGCTTGAGGTAATCGCAGTCTGGGGACCACTTGTGATGTGCCCCCCAAGGATCGTCGTGGGGTGCCCATTGTCTCAGCCGCAACCCACATTTGAAACAGCACACACCATCGGCCATCTGAGTGTAGACAAACCCCGCATGGGCCATCTCTTCAGCAGTCTGATACATTTGCGTTGGCCACGCCTCAAACGAAGCGAGCCTTCTTTCAAAGCGTAGATAATAGTGCGATGGCGTTTGACTGAGCAGTGACACCGCATCCTCGGCATGACTCTTACCCCAACATCCACGAGTATCTGTACTATCCATCACCCCATCTTCGCCACGCGTCGCCGTACCACTCTTCTTTGTTTCAGCCATTCTTGATCATTTTATGTCAAATACACTGACCCACTCGAATCCACACTTGTTTTATAGGAGCAGAACCGGATCGAAAATGGCTGCTTCCTGGTTGGTCCAAAACGCAACGCACGGATTGGTTCGTTCCGGGGCCTGGTTCCCACCTCGGTTTTCTTAAACGACCCGACCCCTGTGTTTCTTTTCCATAGGAAATGGATTTTACCATGGGAGAGAAAGCACAACTCGGCTCGGGTGCTGTCTTCTGATTGGTCGGTGCTGTCTTATGATTGGTCGACAACCCAGGCTTCGGATTGGTCCGATTTCGATCCTGTTTTGGGGAAGGGTTATCCATCCATCAGACGTTCAGTCCCTCTTAGAGTACAGACGTTCATCAGATACGCATCGCTATCATGACGAGCAACCCAAGTACGCCCTATCGTTTGGAGAGGCAAGACATCACCCGCTCCAGACGATTAAGACCCGCTAACCATACCTATCGTTTGACTTTCAACCCAGACTACTTGGACACCGTACCACCGGAACGCGTTCCCATGGAACTGCCAGTTTTATTTGACAGGGTCATCGATGACTTTTATGAACAGATGTCAGGCCAGAAGGGAGATCGTATTGGTCTAGGTATCGATCATCCCGCTTTGAACACCTCCATACGGATTCCCTTTCGTCGCTTTGAAGATCTCCATGGGCTCGATATTTTGCATGCCGTGGAAAAAGTCCAACAGTCCAACAAAGACCTGAACATCGATGCCACCATGGTGGTGACTTTAGTACACGTCTCAGATCCCGACAGGCTAGGATCGGGCAGTGGCGGTCATCAACTGAAACACGTGATTGGACTCGAAGCCTTTTTAACACGCAAACAGTGCATTGTACGGATCAACAACCAAGATCAATCCTGTTTGGCACGGGCCCTGGTGGTGGCACAACATTATGCCCAGAAACCCCTCCCTTTGACCCCAGAATGGACCGCCGAGCGAGTGAGACTGACGAGAACGAATCGCGTCGACGTTCAAGGCATACGGGCACGGGACTTGTTTCGACGCCTTGGCCTGTCTGAAGGCCCCTGTCAGGGCCTGGACGACCTCACACGCGTGGGACGCGCCTTGGTCCCCCTGAATTATCAACTGAAAGTCTACAGTCAAGAGGTGGACCAGAGACTGTTGTACAAGTGTGATGAGGCTCCACCCCACGCCACGGTGCTGCATCTATACCATCATGATCAGCACTACGATGTCATCACGTCCATGCCCGCTTTTTATGGCTCTAACCATTACTGCGAACGCTGCGACAAACGTTACGATCATCCCGAAAAACATCCCTGCACCAAGGAATACCGCTGTCACCGCTGCCTCCACTGTACCTATTGCAAGTCCCTGGAAGAGCACGGGATCCCTTGCTTGACATGTCAACGTTGGTTCCCCAATCCATCGTGTTACACTCGACATCTCCAGTCACCGTCAGAGGGAAAACCCAGCGCCTGCCAATCGATTCACAGGTGCCCGACCTGTTTTCATCTGGTCCGCATCTTGGAGACCCCCATGGTTCACCACGAGTGCTTCGACGAAGACCATCCCTGCTTGGTGTGCCGAGAACCCATGACCCCAGACCATCGCTGTTACATGACGCCTCTCCGTGAAGAAAACGAGGAGGAGGGGGAGGGGGAGGAGGGGGAGGGGGAAGAGGAAGCGGAGAAGGAGGGGGAAGAGGAACAACATCACGTACGAGACAATGTACGATACGCCTTCTATGATTTTGAATGCATGCAAGACACGGGGGAACACATTTCAAATTTGTGCGTGGTGCAACTGGGATGTGGACGGTGCATCAGTGAAGTCAGCAAGGACTTGTGCGAACACTGTCCATGGAGAGAAGAAGGATATGGTCCCAGCCGTGAGATCGTGTTTCGAGGCCCCACCACGCGACATGATGTGTGTGTGTGGTTGACCACGTTGGCTGAAAAACCCAGGAAGAAGCCCCACCCAGAGGAAGAAGAGGGCAGCACACGCAAGGGGACAACAGACCGTCTGGGGAAAAAAAGAAAACGGGATGACACCCCCTCAAGAAAGTACGCTTCCAAACGTCAACGACATGCATCACCCCAGCAGGAGGCGGAGGAGGGGGAAGAGGGGGATGAGGAAGAGGCCATGGAAGTGGAGAAAACAAAGAAGCCAAAGAACAAGAACACCACTTGCCATACAGTCCCGAAGGAGGATCGCATTTATGTGATGGCCCACAATGCACGATCGTATGATTTACACTTAATCCTGAAGGGTCTGTCCCCCCTCCTGGTGACACTCCCCACCAAGATCCGACATGGCCAACACATTTTGCAGATGACCCTG